CCTATTCCACTCTTCTTGCACAGAATGGCTTTGGCAATATGTGGTCTTTTATAATTCCAGACAAATTCTATGATTGTCTTTTCTAGATCTGTGAAGAATATCATAATTTTATATGGATTGCATTAAATATGTAGATTAATTTGGGTAGGATTGCCATTTTGATTATATTAATTCTTCCAATCCAGGAACATGAGATGTCCTTACACTTTTTTGTGTACTTTTTGATTTCCTTTATAAGGTTATCATAGTTTTTCTTATAGAAATCTTTGATTTCCTTGGTTAGTTTTATTCCTAAGTATCTCATATTACTTGTGGCTATGGTAAATGGGATTATTTTCTTCAGTTCTGTCTCTGTCTGCTTGTTGATTGTATATGGAAATACTATAGATTTTTTTTTTTTGGAGAGATTTTCACTGTAGGGCGCGTGCGCTCGCCAGACAGACAGAGAGAGACATAGAGACAGAAAGCGAGAAATCACCCCCCAGGGGGGATGGTCACGCCGCAATCCCTTCTCCTCCATTCTCCTCTCGGGATCTTGGGCACGCATGCACACGCGCCTGGCGTGAGTTCTAAACCACCGGGCCCAGGATGTGAACCGCGGTTGACTACGTGGGAATCCAGCGACATAGCCATTACGCTAACTGCTGGTTCCCATCTTTTTTCTTTCTTTTAATTTATTTTATAACTTCAATCGCAATATATTACTGCAGCTGGTAAGGTGAATTTACCCAACATGAATAAACGTCACACTCGTCTAGTTGAAGGTCTTTTAAGGCGCCCTCACACTAGCCTCCTTTCTCCTGCTGGGGAATGGCGCCCCCATGTGGCGGGGAGCTTACAGCCAGCTGCTCCCTCTGGAGTGGCCTGGCTTACTTCCTTAATTATATGCGTGTGTGTGTGTGTGTGTGTGTATTTCTTTCTTTCATGACAGAGAAATACAGAGCAGGAGAGTCACCTGCTGACCCTCAACAGGTCCCCCAGCACAACGCCCACCCCAGCCTTCCCAGTCAGCCAGAAACCCGGCCTCTGTGGGCGCCGGAGCACACAGGCCATCTTGCACCGTGCCGGCTGGACCCTTAGTCCTCCCTCAGAAACGTCCGAGGAAGGACTCTAACACCAAGGCCCAGTCCATGCCCCCTCCGGGCTGGCCCCTGTAGCTGGAAAGCTGGAGTTCTGTGTCAGCCTGGCGGCTCCTACAAGGCTCAACTTGCCAGGGCTGGAGGGTGCTGGCTGGGAGTGAGAACTGGGGATCAGTCCAGCACTGTGACCCTCCAAGAGGCCACAGGCGTTTCAGCTGTCATCAGCCTGATTGCCTCCTCTCCCTCCTCATCTAGTTTAACCCCTTCAACGTACAGCTCTAGAAATGCCGCCCGCCACCTGGCCCTCTGTGACCTGGCTGTCACCAGCCTGATCTCCCTTCCACCCCAGCCACATCCGCCACCGCGGTGCCTCCTGAGCACACAGACACACTCGCACCTCAGGGCCCTGGCAAGAATGTCAAGAGGATTCAAACCTCTGTCAGCCATGTGGGATCCAGGACCCTTAACCACAAGATATGGGGCTGACCCACCTGTTTATTTATCTGCTTTTTATCACTAAAGCATAAACTCCATGAGGACAGGACTTTCCAAATGTTTGGTTCACTGTTACACACACGGTCATTCTTTTTTTTTTTTTTTTTTTTTTG